CATTAATAAGCCAGAGAATAGAGTATAGGAGGAGAAACAGAATTGGGTTAGAGGATCTTTGCTCACATTCCTGACAGTCTGTAAATGTCATAGTCTGTTTAGTCTGCTATAACAAAATTATCATAGGCTGAATGGCTTACATGACACAACACTTCTCTGTTCTAATAGCTACAACGTTCATGGTCAAAGTGCCAGTGAGTCTTGTTTTGTCGAAGGCTCATGTCTTGGTTTGCAAGAACTTTAGTTTCATTGTATTCTGACATGGCAGACAGCAGAGAGAAAGCAATTCTGGTGACTCCAGGTACAAAGGCACTAATTCCTTTCATGTGGGTGCCATCCTTACCACTTCCTCACCCAGCAAAGGCCCCTGCTCCTAATGTTATTCAATTTGGAGGTAGGATTTCAACCTAAGAAATTGGGAGAATGCAAACATTCATTCATGGCTGTAGAGAAGGTAGTAGAAAAGGGAGTGTTAAGATGCTGGCCTTTATGCTGGACAGTTAGGAAGTGGGCAGGTCAGAGTTGCACACTGCATGGTTCTATTCAGGCATGTGCAGTTCTTATAGCTATCTGCCCAGGACTTGACTTCTCAGCAGTAGTAGTACAAATCATCTCACAATAGCTCCAATTCTGTTTATTCATTTGCTGTTCAGCTTGAGACAGCTCAGATGATCATTTTGACTAAAATATCCTGGAGCTCTGTGATTTTTCTGCGAAAGTCTATGGAAGTTACATTGGACGTGTGCCATTCAGATCTGGGCACTGAGCAATGGTGCACTTGCAGCACAAGAAGTAGTTGCACATCTTGCACAATACTCTTAAAATACCCATGTGCATGTGGTGATGCTGAATACCACTTACCACTGCCAGCTTTGTTTAAAAGGAATGCAGCATTCCTCTGTGAGTTCTGAAAAACTCGACTACACAGAGATTGTTTTTTAACTGGTTAAGCATTTTAGTATCTTACCTTGCAGTTGTGTGGAAAACTGTTTTATAATGAGAGATATTCACTGTGAAATCGACAGGATTTAATAAAATGTATGTTATGTATATATATTCATATATATGTATAGACACACATGAGCATTATTTCTCTGTCTCAAGCCAAATATTGTGCCCAGAGGCAAGCCTGTGGAGAGCTTTGCCCCACCATGCTTTCATACATTTGTATATAAGTCCATGAGTAAAATCAAATGCGAGGCACTGATGGCTAAGGAGAGTTTGGATCCTTTGTCATCTGTCATAATGCAAGGCAACACTTCTGTGTGAGGCACAAGTACCTGTGCAGTAATGCAGTCTGACTTTGCCCTGATGGTTACCGCATTCTAGTTCAGGACTTATGCTCCAAGTCATGGACACACAGAATAGCTCCTGAAGTGAAGTGGATCTGTTTCAGGGTTATCTCAACTAGTACATTCATGTTTTTATTTCTAAGTTCTGAAAACACTGCTTGACTGTAGCCATGGAGGCTTTTATGCTACTGGGAGGATGCTTTCAGAGGTTTCCGTCCATGCTCAGCTTGCTCCATTGCTAGAGCCTGTATGTGACAAAGCTGCTCAGTTCATGGCAGCCAAAAACAGAGAGCTTCTCTTTCAATTTTTAAGAATATTTTCACAGGGGGATTGGGAATGTAGCATAGTGGTAAAGCACTTGCCTTGTATGCGTGAAGCCCTGGGTTCAATTCCTCAGTACCAAATAAACAGAAAAAGTAGGAAGTGGAGCTGTGGCTTATGTGGTAGAGTGTTAACCTAGAGCAAAAAAGAAACTCAGGGACAATGCCCAGGCCCTGAGTTCAAGTCTCACGACTGGCAAAAAAAAAAAAATATTCTCACAGAATGCAGAATCCTAGGTTGGCTCACCCCTACCTCTTTAGTATTTTAAAATGTTCACTACACTCTGTTCTTGCTTGTATACAAGGTAGGCTAATACAGAGACATGTCACATATGAAATTCGAACAAGCCAGAATCAGGAGCTAGTACTGTGAAACTCTTTTTTTGTTTGCTTTGTTTTTGTTTATAGTAACTCCTTTGAGACTCATGTCACAAGACCTTTTGATTATTAAGATCATCCTAAGGGGCTGGGAAGGTGGCTCAGTGGTAGAGCGCTTGCCTTGCATGCATGAGGCCCTGGGTTCGATTCCCCAGCACCACATAAGTAAAAAGAAAAACAGCCGGAAGTGGCGCTGTGGCTCAAGTGGTAGAGCACCAGCCTTGAGCTGAAGAGCTGAGGGACAGCACCTAGGGTCAGAGTTCAGGCCCCACGACCGACAAAAAAAAAAAAAAAAAGATCATCCTAAAACCAGTGTTTCCATACTTGGGTGATAATATCAAAAGACTGTGCTATCAGCCAATGCCAGTGACTCATGCCTGTAACTCTAGCTACTCAGGAGGCTGAGATCGAAGGTTGTCATTTAAAGCCAGCCCAGGAAGGAAAGTCAGAGAGACTCTTATCACTAATTAACCAACAAAAAGCTGGACCCGGCAGTATGGTAGAGCACTAGCTTGGCATCCAGTTCTTCCTGATCTCAGCCTTCCATGTAGTTTGGGATGACAGGCACAGGACATTGAGCTCAGCTAGGGGTTCAGAATGGTTTTTATAAACTTTTCTGTCCAGGCTGGCCTCAAAATGTTATCCACCTGCTCTCAGCCTCTTAAGTAGCTAGGATTAGAAATATAAACCACTGAGTCCTGGCTGCTTTAAGCCTTTTCTATTGACAATTTCCAGAGGCCTAGATCTGTTTGTCCTACAGTGGGAGCTCATGTCTCTAAAAATAGCTTTACGTTCTATCCTGGCTTCTCAGATCTCCCCATCGGTCTCTTTATCTGGGCCAGTTTTCTCATTACCTCTGGACTGAAACCTTTTCCATGCAATTCTCCTTTCTCTTGTAATGCCAGCTTTTTCTGTACCCCAACCTGTCAGGGATTCTCTCAACACTACGTGGAAGAGGACTCAGGATTTTTTTGGTCATGCTTTCCTTATCCCAAATGTACCACCTGCTCCAAGAAAATGATGTTCAGGAAGTATAGCCTGGGGGTCCTGAAGACCACTGGTCTTTTAGTATTTTTTTGTGCAGGGAGGGGAGGGTTGGTTATGGGAGCTGAACTCTGGGCCTGGGCGCTGTCCCTCAGTTCTTCAGCTCAAGGCTAGCACTCTACCACTTGAGCCACAGTGCCCACTTCTGGCTTTTTCTGTTTATGTGGTGCTGAGGAATTGAACCCAGGGCCTCATGCATGTGAGTCAAGCACTCTACCACTGAGCCACCTTCCCATTCCCCATGAGACTCTTTTTTTTTGGGGGGGGGGGTAGGTCATGGGGCCTGAACTCTGGACCTGGGTACTGTCCTTCAGCTCAAGGGTAGTGGTCTACCACTTGAGCCACAGCACTACTTCTGGCTTTTTCTGCTTATATGGTGCTGAGGAATTGAACCCAGGGCCTCATGCATGCAAGGCAAGCACTCTAGCACTGAGTCACCTTCTCAGCCCCCCCACCCCCATGAGACTCATCTCCACTCAACCATCAGAAAACCAGAAGTGGTGCTATGGCTCAAAGTGATAGAGCGATCGCTTTGAGCAAGAGTTCAGGGACAGTACCCAGGCCCCACAAAACAAAAACAAAAACCTGTTAATAATTTGTTGGCAACCTAGGATACCTCTGCCTGTGGTGTATTGACAACAAGCCTGGCCTGGTCTCCTAGGCCCAGCCATGTTCCTGTTCTTCAGTGTGTGTGTGTGTGTGTGTGTGTGTGTGTGTGTGTGTGTGTGTGTGTGTGTGTGTGTGTGTGTGTGTGTGTGTGTGTGTGTACGCATGCATGCATACACACATGCACACATGTGTGCATGCTAGTTATGGAATTTGAACTCAGGCTCTGAGTGCTGTCTCTGAGCTCTTTTTGCTCAAGTCTGTGTTGTACCACTTGAGCCACAGCTCTACTTCTCGCATTTTTGGTAGTTAATTGGAAATTAGTCTCACAGTCTTTACTTTCCAGGCTGGCTTTGAACTATGATCCTCAAATCTCAGCTTCTTAAGTAGCTAAGATTATTGGCATGAGCCACTCTTGCCTGGCAATTGTTTGTGTTTTTTTGGTAGGGGGAGAGCAAGGTTGAGGTTTCATTCTTGGCAACAGAATATTTGAAATTGGTCTTCAAACTAGACATTCCTTTTTTTTTTTTTTTGGCAAGAGTCTTGCTTATACTGTCCAGGTTGGCCTCGAATTCATGATCCTGCTGTCATAGCTTCTCTAGTGCTTTGAAGACAGGTGTGCACCACCATGCCCAGCTAGAATTTTTTTTCTAGTGCTGTGGTTTGAACTCAGGGCTTCACACTTGCTTGCACAACTAGCACCTACCATGCCATGCTTCCAGCCTGACTTTTTGCTGCTTATGTTGTAGATATAGTTTCACAGACTTTTCTACTTAGGCTGGCTTCGAGTCATGTCTTCTGATCTCAGCTTTGTAAGATTGCAGGTCTGTGACACTGGTGCCAAGTTTATAAATCATTTTTTTTGCCATTCCTGGAGCTTGAACTCAGGGCCTGGGCACTGTCCCCAAGCTTCTTTTGCTCAAGGCTAGCACTCTACCACTTGAGCCACAGTGCCACTCCTAGCCTTTTCTGTTTATGTGGAATTAAACCTATGATTTCATGCATGCTAGGAAAGCACTCTACCACTCAGCCACATCCCAGCCCTATAATCATTCTAATTTCTTTGCCTCATAACCTTTTGTCTAAATCTGAGAGTGGAGAGGGTAACTCTTTGAGAATGAATATATTTTTCAGAAGATAATGGACTAAATTCATCTTAAAAGGCAGTTGTGTTCTGCCTGGGTTTAAAAGCAGTATGTGTGTCATAGCAGGGCGATTACCACACTGTAATCCACAGGCTGACTTTCAAGCATAGCTAGGTCCTTGCAGAGACCCCCTCCCCCTAAAGTAGACTTCCTGGGGGCAAAGCTTTGCAACCAGTGACTTTATCACACTTCCCCATCAATTCTGACTTGCAATGAGGCAGTGACCTACTGCTCCCAAGGCATCATGATTGTTCAGGACCAAGGAGAGCAGCCCAGGAGCCCAACTCATCTGACCAATCATCCATGGGCCTGGGTGGAAAGAAAAGCAGGCTGCAGAAGGGGGCACAAAATCATCAGAGCACTTCCCTTGAAAAGGTCCTTGTTAAGGCAAGGCCAAATGAAGAAAGGCAGAGCTGTTCTTCTTCATGTTGCCCTTTTTTTTCATTCACAGCCTTTGTGCTGTCAAAGCCAGGTTCTTGCTTTGTCCTCCAGCACCTGGATCCAAGGCTTCACAAAACTCAATCTTCATCCCTTTACTATAGCAATGAATCTAATGGCTGGTCCCTGTGACATAGGCACACGCACAATGAGCAAAAAGAATGCAGCTGCTATCATTGTCCAACCTATCATTGTCCAAAACATGAAGAGGAAGAGGTTTCTAATATTCAGCAGTTTAAAAAGATCAGATTTTGGAGCTGAAGTTTCTCTCAGATCTTCTATCTTCTCTCAGGTAGCAGCAGCCCCTGAGAAATCCAACCAGGAGAAGATAAAAGGCTTGTTCTAATGTCAACAAGTATTGTCCGTCCATGTGTTCAAGGGCAGATCGGAAAGGCAGCAGGGCTGTATTTCCTGGGCTCTCCTGGAATATCTCCCTCATCTCCCCCACTCCTTCGGTGGTACTGAACTTAGCATTCAGAACTTACTTCTTGCTTCTTGAAAGGTTTGTACTTGAACAGTGCTCTGCTTATTTTAGGCTTCCTTTCTCCCTCTCTCATCTCTTTTGGCATTACTGGGGATTGAACTCAGAATCTTGTGCTCTACCTCTTGAGCCTTGAGTCATGCTTCCAGCCGCTTTTTGCATAGATAATTTTTGACCTAGGATCTCCTCTTGCCCAAAGGCCTGGGCTGTGATCCCACTTGTATTTCCCTGTTGCTGGGGATGACAGGCACATGCCACTGTGCCCAGGCCTGTGCTTCCATCATAACCGGCATACACTGCTGTGCCCAGCCATTGGTTGAGATGAAATCTCATGAACTTTTCCTTTGGGTTGGTTTTTGAACTGCTATCTCCTGATCTCCATCTTATTAGCAGCTAGAATCACAGGATTGAGCCACCGTGTCTGGTCCCTTATTTCTGTGAAAGATTTCCTGGTGGGGAACATCAGCTCTTCCTCATGGAAAAACTGATCAGAAACTGGGTACGCTGGGTACTCTGTCCCCCTAAATCTCAGTTGTTCCAAAATTCTCAATTCTCAAGCTCCCATGCACGGATCTGGGAGATTTGTTAAAATGAAAATCTTGATTTAAGTCCAGAATGAGGCCAGAAGTCCTGCATTTTTAACATGTTTCCAGGTTCTTTGTGTTGCTATCTGATTTCCTTCCAGCATTTGGCTGTTGGATGCTTCTTGTCTGCAAATGGAATCTGTGCTGTACTGAAAACCCTGGCAAAGCCAGAACTCCCTGCTAACCCTGATCTCTTATCTTTGCTCCTTGTGGACCTGCAGGATCCTGCCTTGCACCTTCTGATGCAAGCTCCCCAGCCACGCCTCCTGCCCTGTAAGTTCCCGCCTCCACTTCAATCAGCTTTGTCATGGTTTCTAAGGATGCAAACCAGAAAGCCTAAATGGCTTGGCCTCTGAGCCTGTTTCCAAGGTATAAGAGAGACCGTAATCCCTAGAGGGAAGATACCCCTATTATAATGGCCAGGACATATCTCTGCTTTGAGGTGCTGCCAGTCCTTACAAGGTCTTAAGCAGCAGCCTACCAGAAACCTTCATAGCTCTGCTTCATTTCCAGCCTCTGCTTAGGGCCAGGTAAAAATGTTAGGCTATAAGCCGGGCGCTGGTGGCTCACGCCTGTAATCCTAGCTACTCAGGAGGCTGAGATCTGAGGATCACGGCTCAAAGCCAGCCCAGGCAGGAAAGTCTGTGAGACTTCTATCTCCAATAAACCATCAGAAAACCGGAAGTGGCATTATAGCTCAAGTGGTAGAGCTTCTCCTTGAGCTGAAGAGCTGAGGGACAGCGCTCAGGCCCAGAGTTCAAGCCCCACGACCTACCAAAAACAAAAAAAAAAATGATAGGATATGAAAGAAGTGAGGCTATTAAAACTTTAAGCCAGGGGCTGGGAAGGTGGCTCAGTGGTAGAGCCTTGCATGCATGAGGCCCTGGGTTCGATTCCTCAGCATCACATAAGCAAAAAGAAAAAGCCGGAAGTGGCACTGTGGCTCAAGTGATAGAGCGCTAGCCTTGAGCTGAAGAGCTGAGGGACAGCGCCCAGGCCCAGAATTCAGGCCCCACGACCAGACCCAAAAAATAAAAAAAAATAAAACTTTAAGCTGGCTGGGCATGTGTCCCACTCCTGTAATTCCAGCACTTGGGAAGCTGAGGCAGGAGAGTGTGTGTTTGAGTCCAGCTCAAGTTCAAAGCCAGACTGAGCTCGTGAGATCCTCTCTCAAAAAGAAAACAAACAAACAAACAAAAAAAACAACAGCAGCAACAAAAACCCAACAAGCCAGGCACCAGTGGCTCACACCTGTAATCCTAGCTACTCAGGAGGCTGAGATCCCAGGATGACAGTTCAAAGCCAGCCTGGGCAAGAAAGTCCGAGACTCGTCTCCAATAAACTACCAGAAAACTGGAAGTGGTACTGTGGCCCAAGTGTAGAGTGCTCGCCTTGAGCTGAAGAGCTGTGGGACAGCACCCAGGCCTAGAGTTCAAGCCCCATGACCGACAAAAAGAAAAAAGAAAAAACAACTAGTAAACAAGACACTCCCCCCAAAACACACACACACACACACACACACACACACACACACACACACACACACAGAGCAGCCCTGGGTTCCACCCCCAACACTATGGTGGGTGGGACAAATCTTTTCAACTTGAAGATTGATTTTTCTAATCACCACTTAGTAAAATGTCTTCTCATGGGCTGGGAAGATGGCTCAGTGGTAGAGCGCTTACCTTGCATGCCTGAGGCCCTGGGTTCCATTCCTCAGCACCACATAAGTAAAAAGAAAAAAGCCGGAAGTGGCGCTGTGGCTCAAGTGGTAGAGCACTAGCCTTGAGCTGAAGAGCTGAGGGACAGCGCCCAGGCCCAGAGTTCAGGCCCCACGACTGGACCCCCAAAAAATAAAATAAAATAAAATGTCTTCCTTCCTGGGCCTCAGAAGGCCTGTTCATTGCTATTTAAAATTTAAATTATTTAGATTGTCTCATCTAACTTAAAATCCTTAATATACTAAAACACATTTTCATTAATTGATATGTTTAGTACATTTTTTTTTTTTTTTTGGTTGGTTGTGGGGCTTGAACTCTGGGCTTGGGCGCTGTCCCTATGCTCTTCACCTCAAAGGCGAGCACTCTACCACTTGAGCCACAGCGCCACTTCCAGTTTTCTGGCGTTTTATTGGAGATAAGAGTCTCACAGACTTTCATGCCTGGGCTGGCTTTGAACTGTGATCCTCAGATCTCAGCCTCATGAGTAGCTAGGATTACAGGCACTGGCTTCTTCTTTTTTTTTTTTTTTCTTTTTTTGGTTGGTCATGGGGCCTGAACTCTGTGCTTGGGCTCTGTCCCTCAGCTCTTCAGCTCAAAGTGAGCACTCTACCACTTGAGCCACAGAGCCATTTCTGGCTTTTTTCTGCTTATGTGGTGCTGAGGAATGGAACCCAGGGCCTCATGCATGCAATCAAGCACTCTACCACTGAGCCACCTTCCCAGACCCGAGTCATTGGTTTTTAAGTGAAATTGTATTTCTCTTAACTAATCTCAATGGATCCTGTAGTTGCTTCCTTGAGAAGTAATAATTTTTTTTTTTTTGGTCCGGTCGTGGGGCTTGAACTCTGGGCCTGGGTGCTGTCCCTCAGCTCAAGGCTAGCACTCTACCCCTTGAGCCACAGTGCCACTTCCAGCTTTTTTTTTTCTTTTTTGCTTATGTGGTGCTGAGGAATCGAACCCAGGGCCTCTGGCATGCAAGGCAAGCGCTCTACCACTGAGCCACCTTCCCAGCCCGAGAAGTAATAATTCTTATAAAATTGAGCTTATATTTAATGAGTGCATACTTAAGTGTGCAAGTTAAGTAGGACTTGGTGTATCTCAGAACAATTCTATGCAGTTATTGAATAGCAAAGACAAAACATAAACAGATGTGGAAAAAGGCCTGAAATAGACTGCTGGAGAAAAATAAATGTACTATGGTACAATGTATACCATACAGGTTAATCAGTGTTTTAAAAAGCACAAATGATGAAATTGTATGAAAGGAAATGTACTCATTACATGATTTATGTCACTGCAATCCTCCTACATCGCTTTTTATTTAATTTTTTTTTTGGTCGGTCATGGGCTTGAACTCTGGGCTTGGGCGCTGTCCCTGCGCTCTTCATCTCAAGGTGAGCACTCTACCTCTTAAGCCTCAGTGCCACTTCCAGTTTTCTAGTGGTTTATTAGAGATAAGAGTCTCACAGATTTTCCTGCGTGGGCTGGCTTTGAACCGTGATCCTCAGATCTCAGCCTCCTGAGTAGTTAGGATTACAGGCATGAGCCACCAGTGCCCAGCTACATCACTTTTAAAATAACAATTAAGTTAAAAAAAACTTTATAGATGTTTTTGTTTCTGTGGAGAAAAAGTATATATCAAATTAAAAATACAACATAGAAGGTATACACTAAACTAACTGTAAGAATGCGAACCAGGCAATGTGGCAAAAACCTGTTATCCCAGCTACTTTGGAAGTACAGGCAGGAGGTGGTCAGTATGGGCAGTTGGGAGAGATCCTATCTTGAAAAACAAAATGGCTGGGGGTGTGGTTCCAGTGGTAGAGTACAAGGCAGAGTGTGCAGTGAGGTCTATTACTCCCTCTGCAGGGCAAACTGAAGTAACTATCAAGACAGAAACATCTCTTCCTTTCAAGTTTTCAGTAGTGATAAGTCTAGATAGTAAGCCTTCAGCAGTTTGAAGCATGAAAACCAAAAGCTCCTGGTGCAAAGCATGTCAGAAATAAAACACAGAACACACCAATGTAGTTTACAGAATGGGCAGTTTTAGCCATAGGCACATGGCAGGCTGGGTAGCATTTGGGGGATTTTCTTGGGTTTGGCTCTGGAAAATAGATTTTTATATTAATAAGAGGCAATTATAAACTCCAGGAACAAAAAGATATGGCTTAAATTATTTTTACATACTCACAGTCATGCCATGCTGAGGGGGAATAGGAGAGGCGTTGGTTATCTGGAAGAGCTAGTTCCTCTACAGCATAGTAGGAAGTGGATAATACCAAGAAAGAGAAGAAAAAGCAAGTAATGTCAGTGTAGTGTTCTGTAACAGAACAGATGCTAGGGTAAGTACTTTAGGAGAGTAATATTTGGAGATTTGACTTTCATAAGCATAAACTGTGTGTGATTTTGACAAAAAAATTGATATCCAGGTCTACAAACTGGTTATGGCGAGCAGTAGTTGAAAAAAAAATTTAATCAAAGGAGGTCCTAGAGCGATCAGGCCAAATCTGCTGTAATTGTTTTCATCAAGGCATTAGGCAAACACTGTGTTCACTGAAATTTTGGGGGGGGGGCAGGAGGTCTGGTCGTGGGGCCTGAACTCTGGGCCTGGGTGCTGTCCCTCAGCTCTTCAGCTCAAGGCTGGCACTCTACCACTTGAGCCACAGCACCACTTCCGGCTTTTTTCTTTTTGCTTATGTGGTGCTGAGGAATCGAACCCAAGGCCTCATGCATGTAAGGCAAGCGCTCTACCGAGCCACCTTCCCAGCCCCTGAAATTGGTTCTTGGTAGCAGAACTTCACTTTTTGTCAGGCCAGTACTCCCTGGGACTGCAGAGAACTCCTGTAGGCTGCTGAGTGTCTCTACTAACAATGTCATACCTACACAAGACATAAAGGGCTCCCAGGAGAGCCACTGATTAGTGGTTGGGCCTTGGATAATTCATAAAATCCACTGTAACTTAAAAATGAAGGCAATGCAGAGCAAGAAAACATTAGGTCAAGGATGAGATGTGATTATTGCATAATTGAATACAAAAAGCATGGCATCCCATTTAAAATCAGGTATTTGGTGGATGTTACAGCATTGAGGAATAGATTAACAGGTGGGGAAGAACGCTGAAGAGTTACGGCATTTATCCTCTGTGATGTGCTCTCACCTGCTAAATGTGAGAAAATAGAAGAGTAGAAATCAATAGGAGACAAATAGATCTTGCACTGATCCAGAGAGGAGTCTTCATGTAGAAAGCAGTTGAAATCATCCTTCTCTGAAGTCTCATTTGGATCTCCTCAATCCTCCAGGTGAAGAGCTCTCACAAAAATGGATGCAGGTTTCAGAATGCCATTAAGTCGCAGCTCTCATAAGGACAGAGCAGAATGCTAATGGTCTCATAATTAACACATTCTTTCATGATCAAGCTACAAGGCCAAAAGATAATTTTGCTAATTGGATTGGGGAGGGTGGATACAACAAGGCCAGTATAAGACATCCATGTTGCAGGGTGGACTCTGGATTTGAGGACGTCTGGTAGACATGGGTTTAGAACAAGACATGTATATCACCAAGGTATCCTAACTTCAGACTGAAGAAGCATCATGCTTCCTTAACCATAGGAATGTTCCCGTTGCTGGGTGCTGGTGGCTCACACCTGTAATGCTACTCAGGAGAATGAGATCTAAGGATCACGGTTCAAAGCCAGCCCAGGCAGGAAAGTCCATTAGTCTCCTACCTCCAATTAACCACCAGGAAACCAGAACTGGCACTGTGGCTCATGTGGTAGAGCGCTCACCTTGAGCTGAAGAGCTGAGGGACAGCACCCAGGCCCAGATTCCAAGCCCCATGACCAACAAAAAAACAAAAGAACAATGTGCTTGTTGATTAAACCAATATTTAGACGTTTAACTTTCCTATGAACTTTTTGCTAGGGACTAACAGCTGTCACTGTGTGTCTCACTTATCTATTGCTGCATAACCAAGTATATTTTACTTCGCTGGAAATTTTTCTAGTAGGGGTTCAATTGCCTCTGATTAACATGGCAATATCTGGGGACTCTCATATGTCTGGTGCCCTTGTGTTCTTTGTTCCCTCTTATTTCCCATAGCATATAGATGTTGAATAAGGTAGTTAAATATGTAAGTAGGGAATTCAGGCTAACAATTTGAAGTTACAAATTTAGATGATAGATCACCGAGATGGTCAGGAGTCTGGAAGAATTCCCTTATGGAGCATACACCAAGAAAAGAAGTCCAAGCACTGAGACATTGAACTCATCACTTTGAAAGATGAAAATCCAACACAGAAGACTGGGAATGGAACACCTAGAAAGGTAGGTAAGTCAAAAGGGTGGCATCCCTAATAGCCCAGTGAATAAATGTTTTAAGAATGATGGAGTCTGGGCACCAATGGCTCATGCCTGTAATCCTAGGTACTCAGGCGGCTGAGATCTGAGGATCACAGTCCAAACCCAGCCCAGGCAGGAATGTCCATGACTCTTATCGCCAAGTAATTACTGGAAAACTGGAAGTGGCACTGTGGCTCAAGTGGTAGAGTGCTAGCCTGGAGCTGAAGAGCTCAGGGACAGCACCCAGACTCAGAGTTAAAGACCCAAGACTGACCCCCCCCCCAAAAAAAGATGGAGCCATATCTGGCCTGATGACAAATGCCTATAATCTTAGCACTCAGGAAGTTAAAGTAGGAGGATCCTGAATTTGTAATCAGCTGATGCACCATCACAAGACTAAGTTTCTAAACGAACCCCAAACCAAAACCAAAAACCAATGAAACTAAAAAAAAAAAAAAAAAAAAAGATGGTGCCAGAAGTGGTGACACAGGCTGTGATTCTAGCCATTTAGAAGTTACTCAATCTCATGGTATTCTGCATTATCAGTAGAGGCTAAGTCAACTGCAGTATGAACCACGGATTATACTTTAAAATTAATTTTGTTATGTATTCTAAAAAGTTTTTGAAAAAGAGACAAATTAAAAATATTACCAACTTTTAAAAAGAACTTTGCAGAAAGGTGAGAAATAAGTGTCTCGAAGAGGTGGTTTAAACTTTTGATGCAGGAGAAAAGAATGTTGGGAGAAGATGGGATTGCATGTTAACACCAATAGTATGTCTAATAAGAGGGGACAAAGTAATTATCCTGAATATAAGTAATTTTCAGGATTGAGGGTACTTGTGGGCTTTCTAATAACTGTTTCTCAATGAACTAGAGAGCATGATCTCATCAGTTGAAATTGAGGCCAGGCAAGGAGGTGCTGGACATTTGAGAGGAGAGTATGAAGAGAACCCTACTAGACATGAGCGGGCAGAAGGTACCTGTTTTCTACATGCTATCCTGATGACTATTCCACTTTAATTGACTCACAGTGAATCAAGACTTGTGTACTTGCATAAAGAATTCTAAGCATTGCTCGGCACTAGTAGCTCATGCTCGTAATCCTACTTAGGAGGTTGAGATCTAAGGATCATGGTTCAAAGCTAGCCTGGGCAGAAGAGTCCACGAGACTCTATTGATAATTAGCAAAAAGCCAGAAGCAGACACATGGTTCAAGTGGATGAGCAAAAAAGTGCCTTGAGTAAAAAAGCTGAGGAAGAGCCCTAGGCTCTGAGTGTAAGACCCAGTACTCCTCCTCCCCCACAAAGACTCCATGTGTGAAGATGCTAGCAGATCCTGCTGTTGCCTACTTAATTATACTGAGTCCAAGAACAGTCTTGGGAATTAAGACAAATTTCTTTACAATATAAAAATTCAGATTACATAAATACTTCTCACCAGAATCTTGCTAAGCATAATAAAGTTGTTTACATACAGAATTAATGAATTTGGGGATTTGTTCAACAGACAAAGTACACTTAAGAGAACATAAAAATTCTTTATTCAACCTATTCCAGCCAGTATTGAGATAATCTGCTATATTAAAAACAAGACATTTAAAAAAATTACAGCAGAATTAGCAAGCCAGTGACTACGTCACTGAATTTAATGTTATGTTCTTTGTAGTCATTTGATAATTAGGTAATAAACAATACTTTCAGCCACTTAAATGAAGATAACTTCTGCAATAAATAGAATTCTACTAGTAGTCACTAAATTTTATAAAAGAAGTTCAAAACATTAGTTTCTAGAAACACAGAAAAGCATTATGAAAATAAACAGAAAAAAAAGATACTCACCTAGCCCCAAAGTCTACATCATCACCTTAATTTGTCCTCTACTGCCTTTTACCTCTTCACTCTTTTCCTAGAGTACAAACTATACAATTATGAAACAGCTACTATTCCTTAGGAGTTACTTTTTGTATCTAAAGTGCCTCTGTTCCTTTAATCAGTTAATCCTAGAAAGTTTTCCAAGCATTACTTGCATTTAGGAGATGCAGAGAATGGTGGCTGAGAAGTCACTTGGCCAAGATCACCCATAGTTATTAAAAACTGACTTGGATTTCAGTGCAGTCCATTCAACTGACGTTGTTCATGTTCTTCTGTTGCATCATAGAGGTGCTGGCTACTTTCCTTTAAAGACTGGCACTTCTTGAGAGAAGGCTCTTTAGATTTAAGTGTTCAGTTGCAGAGCCAGAGGTCACTCTGGTCCTCAGGCACTTGCAGTTCCTCCCCTACAGCCACAGAACCCTCTTCCCCCATCCCCAAAAGATCAGAATTGTTTCCTTGACCCTCCTGGGCCCTGATGCAATAAACCATGTAGCTACCTCCTATTGTGGGCACTGAAGTAGTAAATGGGGAAATTGTGTGCTTGCATAACTTTATAAATAAAGGCTGCCTAAAAGCTGTTCTATGTAACAAAATTGTGCAGGAAATGTCTATTCAATATATCTTTTCATATCAGAAATTAAAGAAAAGCCAATATACTTTATCATTATAGCTAATCTAAGTTATTTTTATATATAATCATAGAATTCGTATTTCCTTTCAGAATGAACAGTAGCAAGTAGTGGTGTTCTTAATAAGGCTTGCTCAGTCAAATCTTTCCTTTCTCTCTAAATTATTACAACTATGACTTTTCAACAGCTATCCACACAAATACCTTGTAACTCAAAATTAAGACATTCATATTGTAGGAAAAACACTGGTCTTTACTTATTAAAACTAACATACATTATTGCAATCTAACATACATAGCTCAATCTATATTTGCTACACTCTTAAGTGGCCTTTTACCAGTAAGGGGAAACATTTAACTATTGCCATGCATTAGATATTGTAAACAAACAAAAAAAAAAAACATGGGAATTTTTTAGCTATTTTCCAAAAATCTAATTTTAATTAATGAAAAGACCATTCAGATTGCTGAACATTAAAATGGCTTAAATAACTGCTTTTGAAAAATGAAGATTGAGCCGGGCGCTGGTGGCTCACGCCTATAATCCTAGCTACTCAGGAGGCTGAGATCTGAGGATCGCAGTTCAAAGCCAGCCCGGGCAGGAGAGACCGTGAGACTCCTATCTCCAATAAACCACCAGAAAATCGGAAGTGGCGCTGTAGCTCAAGTGGTAGAGCGCTCACCTTGAGCTGAAGAGCTGAGGGACAGCACCTAGGCCCAGAGTTCAAGCCCCACGACCGACCAAAAAAGAAAAATGAAGATAAAACTAGGTCAACAATGATTATGAAGGTGCTAGCCCCATTAATATATAAGCAATTAAAATTTAAGTATTAGTAGTGTTTTTCTATTATAAACTGATTTTCACATACAAAAAGAATTACTTCAATATTTATCTGATTGTTTTCATACTCTTTCCCTGACCAATATAGAAGCAAAGAGCTCAAGGACTCACCTTGGTTTTCTTATTGCTGGTTTTCTCTCTGCTGAAACTAGACTAACAACTTTAAGGGCCAGGAGCAAGTGTGTTCTATTCACCTCTGTACCCACATCACTCTGCACAGTTCTTGGGCAAATAGGAAGTGATCAAAAGATACCTGCAGAATTAAACTAAGGTACAAGGGGGAGTCAAACAGCTTTATTCATTTTTGTTTTTTGCAAATTGTTCTCTGCTCACGCTATGAACTGGCAGCTTTAGTTTCTATAAATAGGGCTTTAGAATTTTTATTTCATAGAGGGACCTGATTCTCATCCTCCCCATCTGTCTTGTGTCTGTCCTGTCTGTCTCTCTCACACACACACACACAAACACACACACGCACACACAGAGTAACCAAGACTACACGAGTCAAAATTACATTATGAACTATGAGATGTCAATGTTTTATAAATAAAATTTAATAGCGAAAAAGGGATCTGGAAGCCCTGTGAAGTTTTACCCTACACATTTTGGAGGATATCACCAAGTTAAAGAAAACACAACAAAATCTCATTTGTTCAGATAATCATTTGAATGTTTACATATACTTTTGGCTTGTTACTTATTCATAACTAATTTAATGTATATTTTCACATATTAAGATATGCTCCTGTTTTAGCATATAATCAAATTATGCCAAAAGAGAAAAATCCTCATAGTACCTTCATAGAGTTGTTGTTTCTAAGAAAACATTAAACATGAACATGTACAAAAGAGACATTAGAATTAAACAGCATGTGCATTTTTTAATATTTATACAGTTTGATTTAGTAGACATTTCGGTCTGGAGAAAATATGAACAAACTCAGGTTTACCATGCTAAGATAATGGTTCAGATGACTGCCATAAAAGAAGTACATAAGAAAACAATGAAAACAAATCATTCTTAGCTTCCGTGATTACTGAGAGGATTTCCCCTGCCCTAAGTGCTTTATTATATTTCTTAAAAATATAGGAGCAGCAGCTTATCACATATCTCCACTAGTGCATTAATGATGGAATCAAAACAACACAACAGACTCATAAGGATAAGAGGACTGCAGAACCACCAGAAGTCACAATTTTATGCTTCTTCTTGCTCTGGATAATTTAGAATTTTGCGGTGTGCCTGACGTAAATATTGCTGCTGTTTGAAGTAAACCTTAAATGCTCCTTTTATGGCAACAAAAGCAATTCCACCCTAAAAGAAAAGAAAATCAGCTCGTTACAATGCAGGCTTAGAGAAAAATAATAAAAAAAAAGTTTACTTATCATGAGAGACACAGGCTTTGATGTTTACAGAACTGAGGTATTTGCAAGTGAAACATTCACTTTTCTATTGAGTGAGCAAAGGAGACATGGGGACTGCAAAGTAACAGAAGACAGAGATGCTTTCCCCATTACTAAGTAATCTTCCATCCATTTAACTCTAGATTCATTCTGATATAGAAAGGAGAGTTGCCTTGCCAGAGCACTATGTACTACAGACTGCCACCAGAGGAGGGAAAGGAAAATAATGATGAGAGTAAATAACACAAGTGCTTATTATGTGCCAATATTTATCTTACATAACCCTCATAATTACTATGAAGTAGCGACAATTCTCAGTCTCCTGGCACAGAGAAGTCAAGAAACTTGATTTACATTTCACAACAAGGCTATTTATATTAGGATTTAAACCAGACAGTCAGAACCTAAAGCAGAAACTGCCATAGTTTGGTTGGTAGAAGGGTTGGTGTGACAATTCATAACATATTACAGAAGAGCAATTACCCACAGAATAGTTTAGAAAGAGAGCTACTTCAGTGATTCCTCCCATTTCTATTTCCCTTGGTGGAATAATAGTGGGATCAAATAGAAGCTTCAGGTACAGGAATCACAAGCTGAGTATTTGTATGGCTCAGATCACTGCCATAAAAGTGTACACAAAACAGTGAAAAATAAATCTCCCCTGATTATTGAGTGAAGTTCCCCTGCACATTTAAAAACAAATACAGTTCATTCTCTTTTGCATATTACTTGAAAACAGTGGTATTAAATCCATCTTACCAAGATTGTCCTTTGTAAATTAGAGTTAACACTACTGAACATCAGTTTACCAACTATTGTCGCAATAGTAGGAAAGACAAGAGCTCCACATAAAATTCGGGTAGCAGAGACATGATCTGCTAAAGGATTAGCTTCAGCTGGAATTCGAGGAACAGGGCAACCAATTCCTACAGAAAAAAAAAATTCACTATTAGTACATTACCTAAGATTAGCTTAAAAAAATCTTAAAACATTTCTTTAAAATGTGTATTAATCTTCTATAGGCCAATTTGACATGCACTTTGCCCTTTATAACCAAATTTCAGGGCCTACCTGGAAATATACTGTTCAAAATTTGTAGTTTATTTGAGTATTTGCGCCACAGTCTAAGCACATAGTCCTCCCAGCGAATCATCTTGCCTAATATCAGCATGACAGGAATAGTAGGAAGTCCAATTAAAAGGAATAAAGGATCGGCTCTTTCCATAACATCCAGCCCTTCTTTATGGCCTACAACCTGTGGAAAGATAGATGGCATTTGCTAGTATCACTTCCTCGTCTAATGAAATGGTGCATGTCTGAGCTCAGTCCATTTTGAAGGAAATGCTTAACTTCAAAAGAACACAAAAAATAAAAAACTTAAAAACAAAACTGGGCTGGGCACTGGTGGCTCATACCTGTAAATCCTAGCTACTCAGGAGGCTGAAACTAAAAGGACTGTGGTTCAAAGCCATCCTGGACAGAAAAACCCATGAGACTTCATCTCCAAATAAGTAGCAAAAAGCCAGACTGCAGGCATTGCTCAAGTGGTAGGACATATGAGGTGAGCAAGCACAAAGTCCAGAGCCCAAACCCCAATAACAACAAAAAAATACTGCAAAGTTGTTATCCTTGTTACTTCATATTACATTGGAATTAAAAAAGCCTTATGTCTGCCTACATTAATTTTTTTTTTTTTAAAGACCAAGTCTCGCTAAGTTGTACAGGCTGGCCTCAAACTTGTGATCCCTGACCTCATCTGTGCTGGGATTACAGATGTGTGCTACCACACTTGGCTCACATGGACTACTTCTATGTTTCTATTCTTCTTACTTGATTTGGTTAGAGTGGACTGTACGATTGGGATATAATGCTAGATCTTATTTGTCTCCCAGAAGAACATCTGTTTTTCTGCTCTTCTTTCTAGGATATAAACACAGCCAGCCAAGTGGTAGGATTGCTCTTTAAGAAGATGCTACTGGGGCTGGGAAGGTGGCTCAGTGGTAGAGTGCTTGCCTTGCATGCATGAGGCCTTGGGTTTGATTCCTCAGCACCATATAAGCAGAAAGAGCTGGAAGTGGCGCTGTGGCTCAAGGGATAGAGCACTAGCATTGAGCTGAAGAGCTGAAGGACAGCGCCTAGGCCCAGAGTTCAGGCCCCATGATCGACAAAAAAAAAAAAAAAAAAAAAAGATGCTACTACACTGGAGGTGTGGCTTGAATGTGGTAGAGTGTCAGCCATAAGCAAGCCAAGTGAGGGAAAAGTTGAGTTCAAGTCCTGGTACCTACCCCCGCTCCCCCCCTGCCCCCCAAAAAAGTTCCTACTTTGGGCTTAGTAGCATATGCCTGTAATTCTAGCACTTAGGAAGTCAAGACAGGGCCAGACAGGGCTACATAGTAAATCTCTGTCTCAAAAAGTTAAAAAGGGGCTGGGAAGGTGGCTCAGTGGTAGAGTGCTTGCCTTGCATGCATGAGGCCCTGGGCTCGATTCCTCAGCACCACATAAGCAGAAAAAGTCAGAAGTGGTGCTATGGCTCAAGTGGTGGAGTGCTAGCCTTGAGCTGAAGAGATGAGGGACAGTGCCCAGGCCTAGAGTTCAGGCCCCACAACTGACCAAAAAAAAAAAAAAAAAGTTAAAAATTCCATTGTATATATGTAGAATGTATAGCTATGCACACACACATACATACACACACACACACACACACACAATGGAATTTTACTTATCCATCAGCAAGAATATATCATTTGCATGAAAATGGATGGACCTGGAAAAAATATGTTGGGTGAAGTAAGTTGTCAGGTTCAGAGATAAAAGGGAATATGTTTTCTCTCATATGTGAAAGTTATATATAAATTATAAACACATATGAAAACATATCTGGGTTATATACATATATACTCATAAATAAAAAGACTAAAGTATGGTATATGCAGAGGAGAATTCCGATGGTGTAACTTCTCTGAACCAACAGGTGTATAGTGGTGGGCCAAGGAGGGAGGACAAATAGAGGAAGAGTGAATAAATACAGTTGTAATATTCAATATACATATATGAAAATGGAACCAGGTAACTTCAGAGTATAGATGGGGTTGAGAAAGATGAGAAAATGATAGAAGGGTGACACAGATCAAGGTATATTGTAGTTATAAACTGACATGTTGCACTGAAATCCTTTTGTACAAATACTTAAAAAAAGCAGCAATAATAATAAAGGTCCAGCCATGATGGTACATGCCTATAATCTTAGCTACTTGGGAACC